TCGGGTTAGGTTTCGGGTTAGGTTTCGGGTTAGGTTTCGGGTTAGGTTTCGGGTTAGGTTTCGGGTTAGGGTTAGGTTTAGGTTTAGGTTTAGGTTTAGGTTTAGGGTTACGTTACAGCGCGCTTCTGTCAGCGTCCTTTTGTCGGCGCGCTTATGACGTTCGCGCTTTTGTCGGGTCACGCTGTGAAGCAGTATATAAGTGTCTAAGTCAGTGTTTCTCAACCTTGGCAACTTGAAGATGTCCAGACTTCAACTCCCAGAATTCCCCAGCCAGCGAATGTTGAAGTCCGGACATCTTCAAGTTGCCAAGGTTGAGAAACACTGGTCTAAGTGCTATTCCTAAGTCAAGGGTTACCTGCAGATTCTTAATATCACTTGGCTTTTTCCCTGCGAGTGGTAGCCTACCCTTCCTCTTGTTAGTAAAACATATTCTCATTGTGGGGAGCAGGAAGGATGAGAATATTTTGAGGAAGCTAACTGACTTAATGAATAGCCACTGGGTGTTTTCCTTCCTATTAAGAATTGGAACCCACCTACCTCCAGGAATCTTATCAAGGAATGATGAAGGCTGAGAGATAAACATCCACCATTAAACTTACAGTCAATGGTGTATGGTGATTTAAGAAGGAGAACAGCTTGTTTCATCGATGTAAGACTACGTCCACCTTGGAGGAGGACAACTTGGCCAGCATTACATCATCAAAGCAAAATATCGGGAGTTGCCAGGCACTGTTGGATCAGTAGAAACTGCAAATAAGGAAAATCTTATATAGGAGAATAGTATTTCTCAGCTCAGGAACTTTAAGATGCGTGGACTTCATGCTGCTGACTAGGGAATTCTAGGAGTTGAAGTCCGCACCTCTTAAAAGTTGCTGAGCTGAGAAACACCAGTCTTGGTTAACCATTAGGGATCTTGCTATTTTAAATGAAACGGTACACAGGTCTTGCAAGCCAAAGTGCTGGGTAAGGCTGACCTTACGCTTAGCCCCTTGGCCCAAAGGTGCTTTTTCTGGAGGCAAATGGCCCTCCTTGCTTTTTCTTTTGAAGATATTTCGCTTCTCATCCAAGAAGCTTCTTCAGCTCTGACCGGATGGTGGGAAATGGAAGAGCTGAAGAAGCTTCTTGGATGAGAAGCGAAATGTCTTCAAAAGAAAAAGCAAGGAAGTCCAGTTCCCTCCAGAAAAAGCACCTTTGGGCCAACCGTGTCCTGGGTCAGGAGCCATCAACCTTTCGGACCTCAGGGACCACTAAATTCATAATTTTAAACCCCGTGGGCCACTAATATAATCTGCCTAATGATCGGCTGGGTGGGCGTGGCAAGATGGTCATGTGACTGGGTGGGGGTGGCCAACTCGATGTCACTCACGTCAAGGGGTGCTTTGCCAGCTTCAATTTGACTGCCCACCCTGGCTCCTTAGAGGCCCAAAAGGAAGCAGTTCCTAGAGCTAAGCAGCTGCTATGAGGAAAGAGTTGGCAAAACAGCTGGCTCAGTTCAAACTGGATCTGACCGAAAAGGAGGCTCAGTAGAAGCACCTCACTGAGGACTACGAGCATAGGCTTTCCAAGCAGAGGGAAGATCTACAGGAGTGCAGGGCCAGGTGCCAGGGCCTGGAGGCTCAGTAGGCTGAGAGGGTCAGCCAGTTCCAGGCCATGATGCAGTCCCAGTGGAATGAGGCCCTCCGGCTCTTCGCCACCAGCAGCACCTCCCTCCAGCCTTCGCCCAAAGCCTTGCACCAGAAGGCCAAAGCAGACCCCGTCGGAATTTCTGCCCCCCTCTGGATCGCACAAAAAGACCCCAAAGGGGGAGACTCTCTGCAGCAACACAAATATTCATTGCATTTATCCAGCTCAGGGGCCGTAGTTTGAGGACCCCTGATTTAGTGCAATATAAAAAAAATGCAAATAATTTTTCTGCGGACCACCAACATTTTCTCGTGGACCTCCAGTGGTCCATGGACCAC